CAGGGTAGTGTACATGAGATATTAAAAAATATATTTAATTTTAGGCTTCACGTTGTAACGCTGTTGCATATAATACACACTCAGTTACGAGAGAGAGAGAGAGAGAGAGAGAGAGAGAGAGAGAGAGAGAGAGAGAGAGAGAGAGAGAGAGAGAGAGAGAGAGAGAGAGAGAGAATAATGTTGAGCATTTAGTCAATGTTGCTGCAATATGAAGCTCTCACCAGTTACTTTTATTCATCGTTTTATTTTTTTTCTTCAAATTGTCTTTGAGTTTGCGCGCGTAAATTAAAAACTTGTCGTTACTAGTCTATATCGTCAATCATATTTTCTCATTATTCCATACAAATAAGAAAGGAATTAATTTTGTGATGAATTTCTTCTCCCCTTTGTAAGATACAAAATATGATAAACATACACTTATTTAAAAATTAAATAAAATAATTTTTATAAAAATAAAATATGCACACGAATTCCGTATATGTAGTGGATACCGGTTTGCGTATGCGTATTTACCGTATCGCTTAGGTCAAAATAACAAATTCACAAAAGTGACAAAATATCACCCGACTGCTTGAAAACACCTACCATTCACGTAGGACGTTACCAGGTGCAGACTGACCAAGATTGTATTGTATCCAAGTTAACTGTACGACGGTATCTCGCAAATAAAATTCATTATTTTAAATACATCCACAGTGAGTGTAAATGATAATCTTTTTGCTAGCACGGGTTACAAAAGTGTTATTAAAGTACGTTATTGTTGTGTATTTTATTTGCCCTATCTGCAAACTATAATTTATGATCACATATGGGGGGAAAATAGAAGCCCGGATAAACACAACTAGGAGCGAGCAGTAAACTCTTTCCTTAAACTTTCAGACAAGATATCAAAGACAAAGGTTATTTTATTACAACCCCGAAAAATGAATTTGGTATCTTTTAAATGTGACGATTTTTCTTATAAAGTCAACCTACACAAGGAAGTAAAGTTTGGTTACTTTGGATTATTTTAAGTGTGCCGATTTTTTTTTTAAATCGGTCGACACAGAGAAGCAAACATTGATTCCATTATACCTGTATTGACTGGAATTTTTCAAAATAAATTAAAACAATGGAACAGTTTTGAAAGCGACATAATCTAGTGCGTCGCGCACGCATATCGATATAAGGCTGAACAGTAAATTAGTTTTCAGTAGTTCCGTCTAAATGTTTCCTATCCATGGTTTATATTGTTTTACTTTTCGACCGCTAGAAGCATGTACTTCGTTTTGTGGGGATAAATGTACGTCATTTCCGGCTGGCGTCCTCTATAGTTGGGAAATCATAGCTAAGGGGTAGTAACTGCGTTATGTTTTCGAGTAATGAAATTATTATTTCTTCTTTACACTTGATATTTTGTTTTGTTCTATTTTGTGCGAGTATCCACTTTTAATCATGTAATGCAAATCTGATGTAAACAGAAAAATGTTGGAGTGTGACCGGTGACGCTTAAGCTATCCAGCTCGTTTGAACATGAACTGCATAAAAAAATTCTTGCTTCTGAGTATAAAAAAAAGGGAAAATGTTTATCTAATGAGTCTTTCACCCAAGAGATTCACTCAATATTTACTTGAAAATTTCTGTTTCTATCAGTAGGTGAAGGAGTAGAACATTAAACAAGCTTTAACAAGACTGACTTGCAAATATGGAAGCAAAGGTAATCAGTTCCGAAACAAGAGAATACCTTCGTATTTTAATGGATATATATATATATATATATATATATATATATATATATATATATATATATATATATATATATATATATATATATATGAAAATATTTGACCTAAAACTGGAAGCATTTTATAAAATGTACCAACTAATATGACATTATCACCTCAATAATTCTGGTAAATATGATCACCAGAATATCTACCATTTACATAGATATGAGCATTGGCGACTTATGAACATTGATGACTTGAGTAAAACATACTTATCTCCGCCATACATATCATGAGTACAACATATTTACAATTCACGAATGAAAGTATTTCTGCATATCTACTATAAAAAAAAAAACGTAAATTTTCTTTCTGTTATATATTTTCAAAGGTAAAGTCGTCGATTTGTATGGGTTTTCTCCATTCGGTACAAGCTGGTTACTACACCGATAAATGAACTTTGGAAAATTTTGCAATAATTTGGGGACAACAATTTAGCTTGTACACATGCTTAAATTGTGTAATTTGTCAAAATATATACTCTGTACGAAAGAGAAGACATCTTTCAATTCGTTATCACGTTTCATGCACCGATCCATACTGTTGAGGTGGACCAATCAGACATTTAAAAAAAAACAAAACTATTTGTGCGTATCGTCTTTAAATTAAAGACTTTACCGATTGCGAGTTTACTTGCAATGATTTACGTTCTTCGTTTTCTTTATCTTCGTATTCTAACGTTTATTTTTCATGGCCTTGGTAAGGTTGCATCGTACCCCAGTAAAGTGTGTGTGTAAGTGTGTGTGTGTGTGTGTAAGTGTGTGTGTGTGTGTGTGTGTGTGTGTGTGAGTTGGATTTATAAACTATTTGTGCGTATCGTCTTTAAATTAAAGACTTTACCGATTGCGAGTTTACTTCCAAGGATTTACGTTCTTCGTTTTCTTTATCTTCGTATTCTAACGTTTATTTTTCATGGCCTTGGTAAGGATGCATCGTATCCCAGTAAAGTGTGTGTGTGTGTGTGTGTGTGTGTGTGTGTGTGTGTGTGTGTGTGTGTGTGTGTGTGTGTGATTTGGATTTATAAACTATTTGTGCGTATCGTCTTTAAATTAAAGACTTTACCGATTGCGAGTTTACTTCCAAGGATTTACGTTCTTCGTTTTCTTTATCTTCGTATTCTAACGTTTATTTTTCATGGCCTTGGTAAGGTTGCATCGTATCCCAGTAAAGTGTGTGTGTGTGTGTGTGTGTGTGTGTGTGTGTGTGTGTGTGTGTGTGATTTGGATTTATAAACTATTTGTGCGTATCGTCTTTAAATTAAAGACTTTACCGATTGCGAGTTTACTTCCAAGGATTTACGTTCTTCGTTTTCTTTATCTTCGTATTCTAACGTTTATTTTTCATGGCCTTGGTAAGGTTGTATCGTACCCCAGTAAAGTGTGTGTGTGTGTGTGTGTGTGTGTGTGTGTGTGTGTGTGTGTGTGTGTGTGTGTGTGTGTGTGTGTGTGTGGATTTATAAACTATTTGTGCGTATCGTCTTTAAATTAAAGACTTTACCGATTGCGAGTTTACTTCCAAGGATTTACGTTCTTCGTTTTCTTTATCTTCGTATTCTAACGTTTATTTTTCATTGCCTTGGTAAGGTTGCATCGTACCCCATTAAAGTGTGTGTGTGTATGTGTGTGTGTGTGTGTGTGTGTGTGTGTGTGTGTGTGTGTGTGTGTGTGTGTGTGTGTGTGTGTGATTTGGATTTATAATGTAGCCAGGGATGGTCCTGGCTTTCAAACAGTTGTCGCCAAATAAATAGCCAATATCAATATTTTTTCACCAATTTTCAACCCAAAAATGTCGCTAGAACAAGTATTGAATATGTTTCCAAGTCTATTAATGTAATAGGCAATGAAAATTGAAAAAGATCAGATATACATTACTTTATTGACAACAAACAATACAGCCATAATATTACAAAATAAATCATTACATGACTGTTTTGCACTACTTCCATCGTCTTTGCATCCTGCTTCACGGTTAGTGCACATGTATGACTGTTATGACTGTTGTCACCCGAAATAAGTAATTTGGAAAAAAATATTTAGTAAGCAGTGTTGTATGTATATTTTACGAAAAGATTCTTCACGAACTTTGATGAATCTGTTTTCGTAAACACTTAGCAATGTTCTATTCCATGGCCAGAAGGAAAGCTAAAGAGAAAAGGGAGAGTTCTGACTCTCTCAAAGACAGTGTAATGCGTAATGGTGTGGATATGGCTATATCTTTTGGAGAAGCTTTGGCAAGAGGTGGCGAGAATCCCTGTAAAATATAGACAGACTTTCTCTGATCTGGAACTGACGAACTGAAGATATACGTAGGTTCGGCCTATTTATACCCTGAGATTTGCAAACCAGTGTAACATGCCCGTACCACTTGCGTCCTTTGTATATGCTTCTTGTTGTCGAAAAATAAAACATTATAAACCATGGATAGGAAACATTTAGATGAAACTAATGAAAACTAATTTACCGTTTAGCCTTATATCGATATGCGGTCGCGACGCACTAGATTGTGTCTCTTTCATAACTGTTTCATTGTTTTAATTTATTTTTTAAATTCCCGTCAATACAGCACACGCTACTTCAAAGGTTATGAGTTTTATGTGAAGTTTCATGAAAACTATTTTATTGGTATAGTCAAAATAAACAACCGAAGGAATAACTGTCCTTCAATTAATTGTAGTGATTTCTGTTTGCGTCTTAAGAGGTCAGCAGGATTGAGCGTATCCTAGTTTACCTTAATCGGATCAGATTGCAAACTTAAGAGGATTATGATGTAACAAGGCCCAGTTGGTCAACGGGAACAAAGGATTTTTTGAAGTAACAGATAGATCCCAGTGCAAGGGGTATGCAAATTGGTGGCTTCCTTTCGTGGTCCCCTTGAATTCATCCACTCCAAGTCCAGGATTGTAATGTACATATAAAACAGCCACAAAGGCTGTTACCAAAAAATAGCCAGATGGTATATTTTGTCGCCAATAATGGGGAAAAATCGCAATTTGCGATATTGGCGATGCACATGACGATATCTGCGTAGCTTTAACAATGTTTCAGTCCCATCGCTACGATGTCTACAGTGTGACAATTTATAGTGATGTCTAGCACTGGAGCATCGTGACACAAACATGTGGCATCATGCTCCACCAAATCACATTATCATGACACCAGACACAACATTCCTTATACTGATCTCTTAATGCTGAGCGTCAAGCCAGGCTGCTGCCATTTTTACAAGTCTTTGGTATGACTCAGCCGAGGTTCGACCCCCCACCCGTGACCTACCGCATCCGAAGCGATCTCTCTAACCACTAGGACACCGGAGCGGCCTGTTCGTGTAAAAAAAAACCTAGACCAACACTCAAGAATTGCTTGTGTTTATTTAAAAAAAAGTAAACTTATCAATCATTTATCAACAGATAAACTTTACTGAAACTCTAGTTAACTCCAACAAAAAATATATGCCAATTATGGCTGCACAGATAGATAAGATCAGAGCGTGAAATTAGATTTTCGCAGAATCAATGTACAGCCCCCCCCCACCAGCAACCCTATATGACGAAGTCGTATTTCAGCAGTCGGATACTTAACAACTAATGGCGCTATCAATTTCAGCAGAGCAAGTTTGCGACACATAAAACATCATGGTGAAATAATAATATTAAATAGCAGAATTTAAAGAGAAATTAGTCCGAGTTCCCGGTGGTGAACTAGATGAAACATACGTGCATCTAATGTAGTATCGTTTAATTCTAGAAAATCATCTGTATTTAATTTATATTTGCTAAAGTATATAGCTACGTTACATTTTGATCTACGAAGCATCATCAAAAATTGTACATATATAGGTTAATTCACGCCGATTTATGGCAGCCCTTAAAAATGTGTACCATTGGTTATAATGTTTTAATTAATTTTATCCTTAATTTATACTGTTATTATATTGCTTTGAGTTGAATTTCGTGTGAAGTGAATTTTTTCATATCTACACGATGTCGTTTTTCTCTCTAACTGATGTCGTATCTGTATGATCTCATGTGTACTCTCCCACGAAGTTCACTTCACCGGTATTAACTTACATTGAGCAGTAAAGTAATTTACCTTAATCGTTGCTGCGCGATAAAACAATAATTATACCCCAGGAACGAAGAGTACTTCACTTCACATTATTATAAAAATGTTTAATATCGTTGGATACAGTAACAAGTTATAGAAATTCGTTAGCTCGTTGAAATTGTGGTTACAATCTGTTATGTGCCTCCTACGGTGTTATTTCTAATACAGGAAAAGGTGGACAGTTAAAATTTAAATAGCTCCGAACCCCCACCACCAGTAAGGGAGCGCTCACAATACTTTTGAGAGTGACATATATAAGGTGAAGTTGTTTGCATTTGAAACACGCACAGTGGAGAAAATGTTGATATTCCTTTATGCAATTTTGATGTAATGTGGCTGTCATTTCTTTGGATTTTGTACTTATGGAAATTGTACATTATCTAATCACACTACTAAATAAAATGTCTGCTCTTTTGTGCTCCCAAAATCAGCCGGAATTAGTCTAAAGTACATGATCCTTAGCACCTATTAAAATAGGGAAAGTGAATTTTACCAGACTAGACAATACCAGTTTCTGAAAGTGCAATGGATGAATTACTGAACATATAAAATGCAAAAACATTATCGGCTCTTTTGTTTACAATTTACTTCTGAAGTCCAGGAAGTGAAATGACCAAGAGGAGAAGATAGTTTTTTGAAAGATGCACATCTGGAGTAAGGCTAAACTGTATACTTTATAGCCCATATTACACCCATCAATCATACCCCAAAATAAAGGAGATTAAAAGTTCTTCGAACAATAAGAAACCTTGACTAAGAGAACTTCCGGATCCGTCCTTCCTACATAGGTGGCGCTCACCAGTTATGTAATTTTGAGAGAGTGATGTATGTAAGGTGAAGCTGTTTGCATTTAAAACGGTATCTGGACATTTCGCCCATGGACGTTTCGGCCTAGGACATTTCGCCCCACTTCAATAGACATTTCGCCGAACCGGGTACATGGACGTTTCGGCCCAGGACATTTCGCCCCACATCAATATTATTATTATTATTATTATTATTATTATTATTATTATTATTATTATTATTATTATTATTATTATTATTATTATTATTATTATAATTGTTATTATTATTATTGTTATTATTATTATTATTATTATTATTATTATTATTATTATTATTATTATTATTATTATTATTATTATTATTATTATTATTATTATTATTATTATTATTATTATTATTATTATTATATAATTCATGCATACACTTTCATAATTGTTAAATTCTAAATATTGTCATCAATAGCAATCAGATGCATTTCCTACCCTGCAAATTATAAAAGACATATGCAAATATTCAAATACCTAATTATGTCTACCTCTGCATAATTCACAATCTATATATTCATATACTGATAAAGAAAGCACAAATTCTAACAAATTCACTAATAAATTTAGTTATGCATTACGATGCAACATGGCAGCTAATTACACCATCCACTTTGATTCTAGCCTAACAGTGCACATACTTTAAATTTGCGTGTCAGTAATTAACTACATACTATCTTATAATATATTGATAATTCAGATATACATGGAAAATTCCATTTTTAATGAATTATATGTACATAATGTGGTATCAATATTACAATACCTAGTTATAAAAGTAGGACAAATTTTAAGATATGTACCTCAATAATCCTTTGTTTGTAAATCCAAACTTAGAATTTCACTAGAATTCGTTCCCGCCTTTGAAAAGGATATAACTCGTAGTACAGTCTAATGCCTCTCAACGTCTATACGATCCAGCCCGGGCGAGGTTTACACAGGTACCGATTGAAAAATGCATTTAGTCCAAACGTAAGTGACTGCTGGTTGAGACTCTGGCCTAGATTTGAATCTAATTAGATAAGGTCTCCTATCTCTGAAAACTTCCTTGGTAGTAATTTAGTACTTACCGTTTAAGCTCGGGTTTTTGTTCCCAAAGCCCGAGATTGCTTCCAAGCCGGTAGTGACTTCACTGACTGATTGCAAAACAAACATGATTCTCCAAAAGTTCGGCCTAGTGGTAGAATTCTCTTTGAATTTATCTCGGACGGTTCGTTGTGCAATGGTTAAACGACAGACAGACGGTATCTTTGTGTCCAGAATCAGGGCTAGGGTCGAAATCTTACATAATAAGTACTGACATTATTCCGGGTGCTCTTAACAAAGAATTGACTATAAGAAGATATGTTTATTTATTATTATTTTTTTTTTTTTGCAAGTTCAAAATTTTATTATCCCCATAATAGGTTGACCATTGGGTCGGGGAACCATCCCAAGGTCACCTTACAATCAAAATTTATAAACTAGGGATAGTAAATATAATAAATATAATTTATATTAAAAAAAATGAAAAAAAAAGACAACACAAACATGCACACACTCATGCACACATGCATATAGCACAATGTAGGTGACATAAGCTTTAGAAAATAATGTTTTGTTCCTGTTTACCATTCCATCAGTTACAAGTTTCCTATTGCTCTATTGAGGTCCATTTCTTAAGAAATTGTTCCTCTTTTTTGTTTATCTTAGCAGCATATTCTTCAACGTTCTTATACATTACAGCTCTCTGCTTAAAAACATAGATGGTAGGATTTTGCATATTGAATCTGCAAGTATAAATGTAATATTTTCCCAAAATAAGCAAGAAATTACACAAACTGTCCAGTTGTTCACTTCCTAAAAGTATTTCTTTTTTGACAAATGTACAATATTTGGGCAAGATAGTGCAAAATGATCAATAAAACTGTACCAGAATTGTGAAGTAATATGGCAATCATAGAAGAGATGTTCAATACTTTCATTCTCTCTCTTGCAAAACGTACATTTGTTGTCATCCAATTTGTTTATTCTTTTCAAAAAAGCATTAGTAGCGATTATTCTGTGGATTAATCTAAAGTTAAAAGAGATCAATTTGGTATCCTTGGTACAAACTTTCGCCCTGCTATAAATCTCAGACCACTCCTCACTACTTATATTTGTATTTAATAATTGCATCCAAGATTCTTGCTTAGCAGTATGTTGCCTTTTAGCCCTTTTTAAAAGATCTTTGTAAACAAACTTGAGTGAATTATAATTTTTTCAGATCCATTATTTTTCCTCCTGCCTTTCAAAATTATTATATACTAAATGTTTTTTTTTTTATGGCATCTTTCCATGCTTTTGGAATTTTGGATATTCAGAGAAGTATTTCAAGAAGTCACCTCTTCTAGTTTTTTGTTTTATCATTTCAAAAGGTAATAAATTGCCATGATCATCTACTAGATCATTCAAAATTTCAAAACCGGCTTCTTTCCAGGATTTGTATTGATAGAACATTCATGGGGAATAAAATTAAAAATGCTCATGGATAAGAACTCATTTGCACTTTGCGGTTCCTCTTTCCAATAAGATACTGCCAAAATGACATCTTTCCAAAAACTGTTTTTAATAAGCCTACTAAATTCTTCTAATTTCCTTCTCCCTAAGTTCCAAATATCCTTTTCATTTCTGAGTATAATTGTATTGATTAAGTTCTGCCAAGCTCCATTTTCATTTTCCAACAATCTTTTTACCCATCTTATCTTAATATACATAATAAATGAGAATATATGTATCATATTTAGTTCTCCCTCGTTCTCTGGGGCTACTAATATATCGCGTTTAATTCTCTCTACCTTTCCACTCCATACAAATTTAAATAATGTACGATTTAGTTCTGCTTCAACTTTGGCTGATGGATTTGGAAGTGCTGAGAAAACATGTATAAATATGGACAGAACAAGGGTTTTTACAACAATTACCTTACCAAAAACTGACAAATGTCTTTGACTCCAGCTTGCCAATATTCGTTTTGCCTTTGTTAGTTTCTTCATATAATTAATTTCCAACATTTGTTGTAGATCTGGTGAAAAATCTATGCCAAGGAGGGTAAAGTTTGAGGAGGACCAAATTAGGCCCATATCGGGATATATTCTTTCATTAGAAAAATTCTTGTTTACAATCCAAATGGATTTTGTTTTTGTTATGTTACATTTAAGTCCAGACAATAGAAAAAACTTTCAAGATATTCATAGCTGCTTTAAGAGAAAGTTGAGATCCATCAAGAAGAATAAAAGCGTCATCGGCATACTGACCCAATTTATATTCATTGACATCAAAGATCAGTCACCGTACATCCACATCTTGCTTTCAAGTTCTAGCTAAAATCTCAACCCCAAAAATAAACAAGTAAGGTGCAAG